AATAATATATTCGCTCTTTAAAAACATTTTTCTATCGTACTACTGATTATATTTTTTAAACTTGACCTTACATTTGAAATACTTTATTTAAACCAACAAGCGGTCTGCAATTTATTATTATAGTCGGTAAATTTACGAAGTAATAGAAGACGATTTAAGTTTGGTAATATACCACGTATTAAAAACAATGCGAATATTATGCAAATAACGGTAGGTTCTTTAATAAGAAGTCTAGGAGAAATAAAATTGTACAAAACCAACTATGGTTAAATCGTTAAACGTAATGTTAATACTATAAAGTTGTTTATTTTATACAAAGCGTTAAAGTTTAAATTTTTTAAAAAAACTAGCATACTTAACCTACAAGTAAGGAACTTATGATAGGCAATGGAAAGTTTGAAGGTACAGAATACAGTCTGATTTAGTTTATGTAAACCTGCTGAAAGTAACGTCAAATCATCGCAATCAAAAAGCGATTTAGAGTGAAGCACGGTAAACTGGTGAAGTTAAAATATCTAAACTTGAAGCCATATTTGTTAATGTACGCGAAAATCAACAAAAATAAAACCAATGTATACAAATTTTATGCTGTCAATTTTTTTAAAACTTTTTTAGAAAAAACTAAAGGAAATATAGAAAAATTTTAAAAACAAAGTGACACTGAGTGAAAAATACACATTTTTATTATCCAATAAGTGTTTTCTATGGAAAAAAAAAATCCTTAGGTGTGAAATTTTGAGAATTTCAAAGATTTTTCAAATAAAGTACCACTGAACAGTAATTTAACATCATTTAAGGCACTGTGTGAAAAAATTGGATCATTTATGTAAGCAAAACTGTGTTTAAAAAAAAACAATATTTTGGAAAAATCTTCAATTTTAAAGGTATGACATGAAGAAATCGGAACATTTTTACTAACCATAAAGATGTATTTTGAGAAGAAAAAACATACTTATGTGAAACTAATTATTTTTTACACTCAGAATTTAATATTACGAATATTCTGCTAATGCTTGAAAAAAAATGCACGGTTTAACGTGATCTTCATACGAAATTAAAATATTTTATTCATACTCGATACATATTTCATGTAATTTTGTATTACAAGTATAACTTACTTTGCTTAACTAACTACGAAAATTAATAATTAAGTATAATGTTATGCTGCTGCTATATCTATACAGTGAAAATGTTTTTTATTTTATCTAAAACAAAATACACCGAGTATAGAATCGTTGGTAGCAGAATACGTTTTTTAAACGAATATTTTGAATCGACCGTCTTACTTAAAGTTATGCTGCAAAAAACAAGACTTCGTGGTCAAAAATTAGATTTCTCGTTTAAATAAATCCAAGTTGTTTAAATTGTACGCATGCGTCACTTTACACCGAAGGGAATAATAACTTTGATAATACAGTTATAAAATATTGTGAGTTTTCATGTTTAGTATACTATAGAGAAATCCTCTCTACTCTATACGCACACAAATATTGTTATATACCCTTGCGTTTATATATAATAATATAATATTATTTAACGCGTTTTTCATAAATCTTGATAGTAAACTACGAGTTTGTTATTATACTTACAACTATTCTGAACGGGAAGTCTACGTTATAAATGTCCGTGAAAAAAATAATGTTCGAAGTAAAAATGTCTGTGGTAATATCTGTAGTAATAACGTTAAAAATCAAAAACTGTAACAATAAAAAAAAAAAAAAAAATTTTTTTAAAATATTGATAATAGCAAAAATAGCAAAAATATTATTATTTATTATTTCCTATATCTTATTACTAATTCTTATTTTGCAATACATGAATTATTACGGTACATAGACGTGTAACATCCGTGAACAGCAGAGATCTGGAGTTGCATTTTCTCTCGACCGACTTATTGCCGTTACGGTATTTTATTTTATTTTTTTTTTTTTCGTGAGTTCATAGGGTTATTTGAAACCCGGTATTTCGGTGGAAACATGAAATTTGAGCAAAAAAAAAAAATGGTTGGGGAGGGGGTAAAAAGCTTAAGTCCCCGAAAGGTACATTGTTGATATGCACACTATACGTGTCTTTACGGGTGTAAAAAAGCTAAACAAAAACACACTCCGCTGCCGCAACAACACGGTGAAATTCACGTTGAAATTCAACCAATACTGTATCACTTCAATCGCCTTATAAAAAAAAAAAAATCCCGTGTTTAAGCTCATTTGGTCCAAAGAGAGCCGCTAAAAGTGTCTAAAAGTAGCGGGAAAAAGATATTATATACATACCTAAGAAACACAATACAGTGCAATAGTCCGTATATTTACGAGGGAAATTCGACAAAAACTATTCGGTCATTTTTACTTGGGACGTTTCGATGGTATATCATCATATTAATGTACAGTAGTATTTTTCGTAATTTTTTTTTTTTTTTGTTTCAAGTAATATAATTTATTCGGTTTATTCGGTTATTATATAGTCACCCCACTATTATTTATTTTAATTGAATTTCTAAATAGTCAATACATTATAACTCGACGAAAAACACATGCAATTTTTTTTTTTTTTTCGGTGTTATCGTAAATGTCACTAAGATAATTTGTTTAATGTAAAAAAACAATATTTCACGCGTAAAAACTAATATATATTTACGTTGAACGAGTGTCCCGATAACTTTACAATCGCTATTTCCATAACATTACAATGTTGACAATAGCTATTCGCTGTAGAGTGCTATTGAAGGGACGGGACAATATATATTGCTGTACACCTACAATATAAAGTGATCGCCTGATAATTAATTTCGTATAAATTATAGAACGGAGCGGACACGTTTAACCATGATTGTTTTCTAATTAAAATAACCATAATAGGTATGGTAAATATTTGCATTTACAAGAAAATGAGTTTTCGATATTATAAAAGTGTATAGGTGTAGGTGTAGGTGTAGTTGAAATCAATGAATATATATTTCGCAGTTAAAAGTGCATAGCAATATTATTGTCGTCTGCAGTTTAAGGGTTTAATTATCATTTCTCATTAAACGTAAATTGGACGGGGAAGGTCGGACGGGTAATTGTTGAGGGGTGTATACCCCTCTACCCTAATGAATTTTTCTCTTCGATAATAATATATAAATATTAATTAGATTATATTAGGTACCTATATAAACCTATATACCTATCGTATCGTATACTGTCAGCTATTTACCTCATTTTTTTACATCTACTTTTTTGATGATGACTCAGGGTCGGATCCAGGGGGGCCTAGGGTCCCAAGGCCCCCACAGAAATATTATTTTTCCGATTTCTTTTTACAATTCTATAGATACTGATATTACTATATTCCAATCACAGATAGGTATGATAGTATAATATTGTAATTGTATTTGAGTTGTGAAAAATTTGTTGCTCCCCTTCCCCTCCTCTGGCAGATCTTTGCTCTGCATCTGTGCCTGTCAAATAACTATTCTCAATACTTCACCGGTCTCTAAATTGTATACGAATAAGAGTAAAATTTGTTAACTAAAACAAAGTATAAAAGTAGAGTTTTTATAAGCGTGTTAAGCGTTTATAATCACGGAGTTTTAAACCCGCGTTTAACCGAACTTCGGCCAGAATTTTATTCCGTCAGCAATCGTTTTAGCGTAACGTGCAGCATATAAATTTAATGACGTGATGCGTATCAGCTATAACTTTCCGACTTTCATTCTACAACTATAGCGGCACATCCGTGAGCGGTGTCGCAGCTGTTTTAAATTCGGAGCGTACCGAGGGGTTTATCGGTTTTACTATGATATTTTTGATTTTCCAAGCAGATTTCATAACAATTTGGAAGACCCGGAAAAATACGCGAAATGGACAAAACGGGCAAATGTACGGTGCACGACTTACGATTTCGTTGTTTTAAATTTGTACGCTTTATGTTTTCAGCTAATACCAGAAATCTGACTTCAATCAAAAAAACAACTCGAGACCCATTTTGTTAAATGACTTCAATTGTTTTTTGATTTTCAGTCTAATTTTCATAATAATCGAGCAAACCCGAGAAAAAACGTAGAAAGTTTACGGAAATAATGGTTTTATTTATTTTCAATTTTGTTTTTTCTTTTTGTTTGTTGTAATTTAGTTTAAAATATTCGTAGTCTTGAAATATTGACAGAAAACTTTTATTGGCCTTTTTAAAACGTGGTGAAAATTTGAAAATATTCTAAAAATGTTTTGTTTTTTTTTTTATTTCACTTTTTATAGGCATTCTACTATGTGTATAACATTGTTAGACCAAACAGAAATACTCAAAAATCGAACGCTAGTTTCGTTACGAGTCGTACTTGGCATAATGAAAAAAGGAAAAATTCGAATGTAATGTTGCATAGGTAGTTTTAGATTCTGAGCAGAGCGAGGAATGTATTGGTTTTACAATGATGTTTATTTTTGTATTACTATTATTTTTTTATTGGTTTATCGTCGCGTACAGATTTACATTGAATTTCCACTTTACCTTCTCAACTTCTCACATATACAACGGTGGCCCGCCCACGTGCGAAGTACGTTTTTTTTACCAGTACAGGCAATAATCTTGCGTACAGTATAACGTTTAGTTTTGACAATGTGGAAAAGCTATTTTTATTTCAAATAAATTATCGTTTCAAGACGCGCGTGATCGAACTGCGCTCAGAATCGTATTTCGCCAGCAGCGGGATGCAAAACGAACACGGTCGTACCTTACGCGGCCGTGCCAATACGCCAAGCCGACTTACGGTGAGCGGCGGTATCGGTTATTATTTATTTCAGTTGTTTTTTTAACGCATTTTTTCGTTTTTTTCCGCCAAACAACGGACCGCGGTACCGCGTAAAGGCGCGGCGGCGGCATAACGTAACGCGCGGCGTTACGATACGACAGCGTTTCTAGTACGCCGGCGCCGAACACTTACTGCGTTACCGCGTGATCCGACTGCGTGAGGAGTCGTCGTCGCTCGCCGGCCGGTCGACAGTTCGGCCCGATCCGCGCGTCCGTCCACTGCGAACACCCGTTTTCGGTTTTCCGCGTTCCGCCGCCGCCGGTCACCACGCCGCCGGTAATTCGAGTTTCATACCGTTTTTTTTTTTTTCTTTGATTTTCCGCCTTTTTTTTTTTTCAAAACGTCCGTTCCCGTTTCCCGGCGATTCCGGCGTAAGCGTATTGTATCGTTTTCGGCGGCGATGTACCGCAATAGGTAGTGGCGGTTCGTCTGTCCCGTGCGCGGGGTCGCGTTGTTTTTCGCCGCTGTCTCAAAGCCGATACGTGCGTTCTCGCGTTATAATAATTTTTGTTTTTTTCATAGTTTCGATATAAACGCGTGCCTGATCATATAAATAATATCGGTTTACGTACTTCGGAAACGGAAAAAAAAACCCCCCGTCGATAGCGTAATAATTAATAATTGATTGTGCGACCGATGGAAAACGGAACGATTTTTACCGGAAATATCGCGACGACACGAGCGTAGAAAAAAAAAAACACCAACGACAATATTGCAGTCGCGGCTGTACAGTCGAGACTCGAGTGTGTCGCGGAGCGATAAAAAAAAAAAGGTAAGCGATAAGTACACTATTGTTTAATATTCTATTTCCGGTACGACGGTAAAATAGGCACTGCGACATTCCGGACCAGATTAAAACGGAGCTAGAAATAACCGCAAAACCGATCGACTAAACGAGCCCGATTGGACGAGGAATAAAAACCAACGAACTAAAAAATCACACGGATAAAACGAATAATAATTATGCATAAATTAGTATCGGTATTTAATTAATGCTACTGCAGGTAATAACGAGCACTAAACGGCGTTATAAATCGAATCTATATAGACGTGTTATAATGAGGTAACCGGGTACGCCGAATGAAACCGGCAATATTAAAATATTGTGGGCCGACGACAATATTATTTTATTAAATCGATCGAATACGTTCGAATAAATACAATTGATTTATGTCGATTTCGAGACGTGAGTAAAAAGTTTAAAAAAATAATAATAATAATAATAATAATAATAAAAAATACCTATCAACGTAATATAATAATAATAATAATAATAATAAAAAATAATCAAATAATACCGCGGTATAATAAATATCGAATAAATTGACGACGCGATAATTTATTTCGTTAATGTTTTTACAATGACCGCATAATAATAATAATAATATCATCATCGAGATGCGACGGTGATAACACTTTGATTTATAATATAATAATAATTCGAGTTCAAATGTTATTATTAATTATATATATTTTTTTTTTATATATAGTTGCGGAGCGCGCGTGTGTGTACCGACACTAACCGAATTATTATAACGAGTAAATTAAACAATAATAATAAAAAAAAAAAATATATATAATAGTGATAAAAAAAAAAAAATTAATATTATCTATATTGACATAGCTGCTGATGGATATTTCGTTGTAATATGGCTGTGTGTATAGTATACAGATGATTAAACTATATTTTTTTTTTTTTTGTTTTTTGTAATATTGTTCTCGACTGGATGTGTAATATTTTCAATATTCGTACAGTCATGTGTGCCACGACGTACATTTTTTTCGAATAAATTAAACGAAATAACGATAAAACAAAAAACTACGGTACATAATGTTATATTATCGAATATCATTTCGTGATGATAACATTAGTGTCGTGTTAAATATACTGCGAAAACAATAACAGCCCCGGCCAATAACAATCTTGTTACAAATTTATAAGAGTATCGAGTTATAATAATTAAAGTATTTTTTTGATAACAATTAACTTGACTATAGTTAAACAACTAGAGGTTAGAAAATAATAATTTAGTTCATGGCTAATGCGTAGTTATTTCTTTTAAAATAAATGATTTTAACTAAAACTCGGCAATTTTTTTCGAATACAAGTTATTTACGAATTTTTTCAACGAAAATTTCATATTTATACGTGAAAATCATTATAACTATACGGTTTCTACGGCCTACGGCACACGCAATTCACGCGATGAGTGTAAAACATATTTTTTTTACCGCACACTATGCATACGGTAGGTATATATATATATATATATATACTATACATACTAAATAATACTTATATCTTTCGACTTGACTCAGGTTGCTGAAAATGTTCGACTCGTAACTTGTATAGTTTCCTGCTCAATTTCGTTTATCGATTTTAAAATTGACTGACATTTACCTTAGTAAATATTTGTGTTTTTGTTTTTAGGATAACTCAATTTAAACTAGTTAAAAAATTAGCTCGGCTTGTTCGGTTTTGAGCAATTATTATATTACATTATAACGCAGGGTAATCTTTTATTTTCCGTTTGGATTCCTATAACAGGATTTAAAGAGACACACAATGGAAAACGGTAATATAATCCCTATATTTAATTTTGAGTGTTCCGTCGTATAATATCGTGGTCCCGAAACACAAATCATTTATAAAGAACAGGTTATTCATTAGGTAATTTGTTAAACCGAAATGCTTTTGTCCTCGCTTCGGTCAAAAACGAAAACGTAGCTTTTTTTAATATCCACTGCAATATCATATTATAATAGAAACATCAATTCGATTTTCTTTAGGAGTTACGTGTTACATGTCGTTTACGACACATATGCATATCAGTTTTCTTAACGCCTAAACGTCAAATAATAAAAATACTCAACGGGCAAATAAATTATTTTTTATGACTTCGTTGCACGTGATGGTTTTCAGAACGTCTACGAACGCCATAACATAATACAGGCAATGTGACGAAATTAAAATTAAGATATTAAAATAATAATGTTTACAGGTATGTATACGTGACGAATTAAAACAGTATTATCTTAATATTAGCGTTACCGACGTGCGTAATAAAATTACGGGTTGAAAATTGGTTATTAACCAACGCAGTTCCGCGAGGAACGGTAAAAATGAGATTCACCGGCGTCTATTTTTAGTTCTGCATAAAGGCTTCGGAAAACTTTCCGCGTAAATCTTTCGAAGACTGCGTCTTTTGAAGAGGACGCCTTTTAAGTGCAGTCCGCGAAGTAGAGGTACTCGCGCCTCCCACCCCCCCCCTGTAATTTCCGATACCCAACAGCCTACTATTATATTATACACGCTATCTCGTCCGTATATACATACCCATATAATATAATATAATACATTCAAATTGTTATGCTGTTTTATTGTTTCTTTGTACCAAGAACAATATTACAGTGCACGAGCGTTACTATAATATTATATTATTGTTATTATTATTATTAATACACCGTTACCTTTTACGACGGAAAAGTGCGTATATTACAAATTGGGCGCGCGTTTGTTGTCGAGAAAAATATCCCTTCAGGTATGTATTATTATAAGTATCGTGCGTCTATAATGACACCGTGTTTGTCTATGTTAGACCCCTCTTCTGGACAGTCTGCTGCAGGGGTAGGTATACCTATACCTTATACGGGAAAACGAAAATTAATAGCGGTCAGCTGGCCCCACAGCCCGAGACGCTGTACATTATGACGTGTAATAAGAACGGGACAATAATTGGAGACCTCGGAGCGAAAACCCGCAGAGAATTCCGCTGTTTTTTTTAAAAATAATACTGTTCTTTACTTTTCCCGGATTTATCGGCCACAATCGTTGCACCGGAATATTCTAAGACTAGATATGTGGGCGTATCCGGAATGTGGTTCCTGTTTGAAAAAAGGTATTTCAGGAAGATAAGCCGAATCGGTTCCCGTTTAAATGTGTAATATATCTACTCCTGATTGAATTGGTTCCCATTGTTTGCGGTAAGATAGTCAAACACGCACATTTCTCTTTCTATTCTTACAGGCTTAGGACTGTCAACTTAAAATTACTGAGATTTAATACTAGAAACATTTCTGTGTTTTATGTTCGGTCAAGGGCGCACCCAGGTTATTTTTTTTTTTTTGGGGGGGGGGAACTAATTAAAATTATTTTCAATAGTATTTATTTTAAAACATGTACATAAATGCGAAAGTCGAAACAGGCAATGTTAAGAACATTTTTAAAAATATAAATACAGTTTGAAACAGAATTTCATTACAAAAGTTTAATGCATCGATTGCATTATGTGGTAATGAAATGCTTTGGGCATTAGAATTTTCGATACTGTAAACCAAACTCGGCTACTGCAGCATTAACACCATTTTGTGTTATATCATTTTTATAAAATTCTAAAAGTTTTAAATACTGTGATTTTGCTGTTTGATTCGGTAAATTTCCAGTTGGTAGAAGGTACTTAAAACTTTTAATAACACATTTGTGCTTTAAAAATCGTTCAGATATATTGTTTATAAAATAATCTAGCCACGGAATGAGAATGGCACGTCAATAATATTCTTCTTCATTTTCCGCGGGTACATTGCATCGTTCGGTTAGCAACGTCGCGTAGATAAGGCTCGACGCACACGTCCGTTTCTTGTCGCCAATAATAGAGAGCAGAGGTCTTTCTCGGTTCCCGGAATGGCAGGTATAAATATATAATATTATGTTATATCTAACGTTTCAATAGCGATAGCTGATAATTTTTTATCATAATTTAAAGTCGATACCTAATAAAGTTATTAAAATGTTAAGGGCCAACCTTTTTTTGGAGAAGAGGGAGGCTTAAGGCCGTTAGCCCCCTCATTGGGTGCACCTTGACCAAACATCATTTTATTTCCTCGATAACTGTAAAATAACCACCGCAGTATGGCAAAAGTTAAATAAAAGTTTAAAAAGACGTCCTAGGATAATGGGGATGGGTGAAGCCATTGTTGTAGGTAATTATTTAATGTATACCTGTAAGCAATGATAAATCATTGTTAACGAAAAAAGGATTCTGAGCGCAGTTTAGTTGATAGTGATGCTTTATCAACAATATATATATATTATGGTAAAATAATTAAATAAGCATTTTATATTTTATATTATAATATTTGTTTAATGTATCAATTTCTCCGTTTTTCTCGGTTTTCCTATGTTTTTTCCTGGTTGTTCATATTTGCTGGAAAAAATTCTTCAGAAAATGACTTCCATAAAGTACTTCCCTAGTCAGATTTCCTTTGAGAAAAGGTACTATTATTGTAAATCGGAGCCAAATTATTGGTAGAAATGTTGTCCACAGATTAAAAACGTTGTAATATTTTACTAATATATTTCGTACATCTTCCCGTTTTCCCTCCTTTTTTTTCGGTTCTACACATTTGACGAAAAAACCCCTGAGAAAATCGAAAAACGACCTTCTTAAAGCACCTTTCCAAATTGGTTTCCTTTCAGAAAAGATGTTACACTTAAAAATTTGAGCAAGATCTCTAGTAGAAAAGTTACCCATAGAAAAAAATAGAAAAAAAAAAATAAACATCTTTGTAAAACCATAAGCTTCTTCGCTCCACTCTGAATCTAAAATGTACTACATAATTCTTACATTTATTGTTTTTATTGTATAAATGTAGGTATTAAACGGGAACCAATTCGAATGCATCCATAACTCCGCCGAATTCCATCAAAAATTATATAGGTACCTATATGTATATATACGCTTATATATACAGGAATGTATTTAAAATTATTTAGAATCCGAGGCACGCCGCTACTCTTATTTTGTAAAATTATAGAAAAAACAAGATTCAAAGGAAAAAGTTCTATCTTACGTAAAATAAACAAAAAAAAAAAAAATTCCGAAAAAAAAGTTCCACCAGTTAATTAATAAACAATGGTACGATTTTCCGCTGTAGGCACGTGCCTATAATGCCTATACGAAAATACGCCCCTGCGTATACGTAATATATGCGAGTACATAGGATTCGTCTTATTGCACTCAAAGAATATATTATTCTTTTCTTTAAAAAAAAAAAAAAATGAATTATATCATTCGCAAGTTAATCGTTGCACCTATGTCTTCGTTATTTAACAGGGAAAACAATGTCCGTTATTTTACACGAATGGTGTAAAATTCGACAAATCTAAAACTATAGTAAACATATTATACGTATCTGTATCTGTTAAATAACTATTTTTATTTTGTCTATAACTATAGCGCCCGGGACGTTAAAACGAAAAACGACGTTGGCAATTTTTTATTTGCGTCCTCGGTGCGCCGTCAAAATTATTAAAAATACCGTTATAATATAAAGATAAAATTTGCCTTTTGAACAGATAAACAAATAAGCAAAAATATTGCGAAAACGACGTTTCTTGGAATACTTTACGCGGACGTATAATTTATGCATCTATATAATACATCATAAATCTCGTAAAGTGCAAATATGCAAATGTACGTTAAAATTTAACATGTTTATTAAATTTTATAATATAATTTTAAATTAATTACGTTAAATAAATGATTACGATATAATTATTATTATTTTTTTCGAAAACTCCACAGTCCGTAACGTAATATAATAGTGTGTTTGATGAAGGACTGTTAATACATAATATTATTTTTAATTAATTTTTCTTTTTATTTTACTAAGTAATTTTTTATATTACCTATTGTATACGCGTTATTATGATGGTAATCGTCGCAGTAATCTAAATAACAATTATAAAAAAATAAACAGTAAATGCGTTTTTTTTTTTTTAACAATAATTTATTATAATATTTGTACAGTTGGTACGTGTTTACATTATTGTATCTTTGATATTATATTATACGAGCGTACCTACCGAGTTGTTACGCATAGTTTATTTTTTGCAGCTTATTACTTTCAATACAGGTAGTTTTCAAAATGAACGAGACCAAGGCGAATATTCAATCCTTCGAAACTATATACCGGCTTAGATTGTATAATAAATAATCATTATACAATTTAATAATTATTAATTATTAATCGATGATCTTTTCATTTTTCCTAATGTGTAGCTAACTAATGATAATATGTAGTAATTAAGGCGCGGTTTATAATGCAAATTGCATTATTTTCTGAATGTCTTAAAGAAATGCTTTCCAAACACAAAATTAATTTCATATAATATTAAAGAACTAAGATATGAAACTTTTATTTTGCATTTTGGTTTTACTTCTATGTTTATTTTTTTTTTTACTTTTTTATAAAAATTTATTTTTACTGTGTACAAAAATTCTATCAGAAATCTTGCTCAGATATTTACACGCGGCACCATTTCTGAAAGGGAATGTTGTTCAGATGTCATTTTTTGATTTTTTTATGCGGTTTTCATAAAATCTAGGAAAACCCCAGATAAACAGTAAAAAAACGAGAAATTCGCGAAAATAATGCTTTTATCATTTTTCAACTTCGTTACATGTTGTAATTCAGTTGAAATATTCGTAGAGATATGAAATTTGGACAGAAAACTTATATTTGCATTTTCTAGACGTGGTAAAATGTTCACATATTTGGGCCGTTTTTGAGCTATTTACAAATATTTTAATTTTGCGAGTTTTGTACGTACTTTTTATTCGGTAATTTGGTAGATACTCTGCAGTAAAATTGTTAGACTTTTAACAAAAATGCTTGAAAATTTAACAGAAAATTCATTAAAAGTCTTACTTTGTGGTCAAAAAAAGAAACTATGAGTTTAATGTAGTACTTTTTTTTTTAAAAAAGGAATTTTAATATTAAATTTTGACGATTTTTGCATTTTGGGTGTATTTAGAGACCCAAGCCATCGCTCGCTCGGACTATTTAGTCGCAAAATACCCCTCGATTTGTTGTACACACTTTTCTACCAAAAGTTTTGCTCCGATGTGTAAAGTGTAGCTTATTTTCTGAAAGGAAATTTTATCTCCATGTTAAGGTCATTTTTTGATTTTCCCAAGAGTTTTTCCAGCAATTGTGAAAAATCGGGAAAAAACCAGGGAAAACCTGATAAAACGTAAAAATCGGTACTATATTAAACAAATATTATTAAAGAAAATATATAATACCCATTTAATTATTTTACCATAATATGACATATTGTTGATTTGTTGATTGTTATCACTATTAACTGAACTACGCTCAGAATTGTTTTTTCGTTAGTAATGATTTATCGTTGCTTGTAGGTGTACATTAAATTATCTGTAACAGTGGCCGCACCCGACCCCATTATTCTAATACGTCTTTTTAGAACTTTTTTACGTTTAGAGCATTTGTTGACATTTTAAGTGCATTTTTAGATTTTTTTTGTTAAGAGACAATTTGATAATATTTATTTTAATTTGTTCCTAAAAGAAAAAAAATCATATATCTATTTTTAAAATGTATTGCGTATAAATTTACCGATTGTACACCGGATAAGTTTTAATGTAGTCGTATTGCACTATTTGCACTGTTGTGTTCAATAAATTTATAAACCTAATAAAAAAAAACGTTTTCTCAAGGTTTAAAATAATTTTCAAGAGCATTTTTACCCTTTTTATATATTTAAGTGCATTAAATTGTACTTTTCTAAGGCATTGTTCTTGTTTTTTATAGCATTTAAAGCCACACCCTAATAATTATATTGCGCTAATTATGCGATTTGGTTTAAAAACGAATGGTATCAATTAAACTAATGTACGAAAAACACACGGATCTACGCAAAAAATACCAGTAGAAAATATTCGCAGTGACAATTTTCGAAATGATAAATTTATGAATAAATGTGTATAAAAAAAAAAAAAAGTGTATTTACCAAATTTTTTCTCAATATAAATATAAATTTAATAGTTACATGCATTTTTAATATTATTATCATTGGCGTACCTATATATACATTATACCTACTATCATTTTTACTGTGGACATTATTTACTTTCGACATTTTGTTTTCTCTGACGTGATATCCGCTTGCTAAAATATTATAAAACAATTTTGGAATGTACTACAAAAAAAAAAAAAAAAAAAAAAAT